GCTGAATGACACTAGTCAAGTCACCAAACTCTGGGGAGCCTTGCTTCTTCAGTGTCAATGGAGACAGGAATACCAGGGGTACAACCTCCATGTGATACCCAAGCAAGATCACATATGTGACTTAGGGAAGCCCTTTGTACACCGTAAATGTGTCTGTAACTATAAGCTATTATTACTCGAATCCTGTGATTCTACTTGGCTGCTGTGCAGAAACATGTAATTCATGCTTAAGGTGGTCTGCAAACACGGGCAATTCTCTGTTATCCACAGGGCCCTGCAGACAGGTTCCTTAGATTAATCCCACATTCTCTCTGCACAGTTTCCCCTAGCTGATCCAGCACCATTATTAGATTTCATAACAGAGCCCAGTTACAGTTGCTCCAGTGTGCTATGAAGGACAAACAATTTGGAAAATCATCTACAGGAGATTATAAGGCCTAAAACCATCTTCTGCAAAGGAAGACCAAAACCACATGCCCACACATAAGGTTCCTAACCTTTTCTGGAGCATCTCCTACATGCCAGGCTCTGTGCTAGACTTTAGCCTTACAAAAGGTATATTTTCTTGTCAATCCCCACCACCCTCTCACAGAGGGGATGTCTAGCCTCTTTTTATGGATGAAGAAAGTGGCATGCAGAGAAGTTAAGTAACCTGCACAGAGTCTGAAGGTTTTTGAGTGGTTGGTGGTAAAAAAGCAAGCAGCAGCCTGGCAGCCAGCAACTGATCTGGCTCTCACAGCTAGGCCTCAGTGGTCTGTTGAGCAATTTCCCAGAACACCAGCATCAGGCGAGGCCGGTCTGTCTGTGCTGGGTCAAGGCAAACCAAGACCACTCAGCAGCCATGGCTGAGCACAGACAACTTAAAAAATGACCCAATGTTCCTGTGTCCTGGTATTAGCCTTGCTTTGTGCTTCTTGCCTTTCAGATCAGAATTATTAAGGTAATCATATGACTACTTCATGACAGCAAAACCTTTCCTCCTGGCCCTCCCCCAAATCATCTAATGTAAGTCCAAGTCCCATAGTAGGCCCTTTCCAACTCCTTCTTACAGAGATGCCACACGGCTCTCCTTCTGCAATGAGTAACACACCCAACTCATTCACCTGCAAGTGTGTGCCTGGTGGGCACGGGCTGCAGGGACTTGGCAGTAGGAAGACTAATCTAGACCTGCCTGGCTTCAGATCCATGTGCTCTCACTGCATGTCCCAGAAAGCAGAGTATCCCATGTAAGTCAAAGGTTGGTGGGCTGATTTTAATTTAATTTTTAGTGTCTGGTTTCCATCTACTTTGTTGTCCTCTTAAATTGGAGATACCTATTATGTCAGAATCAAGGATGAGCTTAAAGTCTGGAAGTATTTGCTAATTCCCATGACTAGAAGAACCATTCACCCGCCCACTCACACCCTCCCTCCCCAAGTCACTAGTGGGTGGGCCATCCATGCTCCAAGCTCCTGCTTAGACTCTGGGATACTGATGTGGAAGGCTAAGAGGAACTCGCTGTGTAGGACATGCTAAGAGTTGGTGATGGCAGTGCAGACAGGTCTGTACAGGCCACTGCAGGGGTCTGGGAGTGGAGTGGCCGCCTCACCTGCAGGGTCCAGGAAGCCTTTATATTTTAAGTGGTCTAACTGAACTTGCAAGTACAGGACAAAGGACCCCAAAGGGGCTGCCTGAACCAAGTCTCTGAGATGGGAAAATCCTGTCGTGTTAGGGTGACCAGAAGTAGAGACACAAGGTGGGGCATAGGGGAGAGGAATGGGTGAGGCTGGACAGGCAGCTGGAGCCGCCTTGGAAGGGCCTCGTGTGCTGCCCTGAGGGGTGTGCATGATCCTCAGGGTGATAAGAAAGAGGGCTGCTCCAAGCAGAATGCCGGCACGGCCACACATTTCAGGAAGATCATTCTGGCAGAGGCATAAAGAGTTTTTTTTTAAAACATGATTTATGTGACCTGAAGGTTGAGTTTTGATTCACAGTCTGGAAAGGGCATTTATTAGCTCTAGTAGACCAAGAGCTTGGTGGGTCTTCTGAGCCCAGCTAAGGAGCTTTGACCTTACCTTGGGTGACTAGGAGCCTTTAAAGGATTTGAAGCAGGGCAGAGATAGAGTAAGATCTGTCCCCCACATCCCCCCAAAAATCAAGTGTGCTGTTAACATGTGATTCCATTTAGGCTTTTTGGAGTGTTGAAAATGACCAGAAGACCCCATCATGACCTTGCCAGAAGCCAGGCCCCAGATGTCTCGATCAAATGGTTTCTCACTCCCCTCTGGCTCTGATAGTCTGATATTCTGTAACAAGGAAGGTACAGCTATTGCTACAACGTATAATGCATCACGGTGTCAAACTTTGGGATTATCTGCTGCTTGGGGTTTCCACACCACTGCTCCCCTTCATTAGTGGGGATAATTGAGAGTTGACTGCAGTCGTTACCTCTGTTGTGATGGGTATTTGAAGCTAAATTCCGGCATGCAGGAGATGTGTGAATATTTGTCTCAGCTGCAGAAAGTTAATGCAGTGTGGCATTAATTACCCTGTCTGAGCCTGCTGTCTTTTTCTGTTTTTAGGTGTCATTCTCAGTTGAATAAATTAGTTTCCAAAATTAGAATAAATTGTAGGGTGAGATCAAGGCAGCCTGACTTCTTAGGGCATCCAGAAAGAAGAGTAGGCTGAGAAAGTCTTCCCTGGGAAGATTAGGATTCATCCTTGTAGCCCAGCAGAGGCTGAAGAAAGTGACTTTGCCCAGCACTTGCATGTTAGTGCCCCACCCATGCCACCCCCCCCAGAATACAAACACACAGTAAAGTTACACATTTAGCCTTACAAAAAGGTATTGGCTGGGAATAGATGAGGTGTTTAATAAATCATCTTGCTATATAGATTTTGCTAGATTAAATTTTGAGAGAATAAAGGCAAATTGGAGTATATTCAGGGCAAAGGGATCTGAACAGTGGAGAAAGTAGAAACTGTATCATTCATTAGTTCAACAAACCTTCACTGAGCCCCCATGTGCTGGGTCCACACATGAAGTAGAGTGGCAGAAGGACCTGGCAAGAGGTAGAGGACATAGAAAGATGGGCTTCCCTACCTTCTATCATTTGACATTTGGGAGAAGGGTTACACGTACTATTGAAAATTCCAAGGCAGTATGAATGCATATGGTTGGAAAGCATGAAGGGATCAGTGGGCACTCTGTCTTATCACAGAAAGGGTACGCGAAGGGTGCGAAGCTCCTCCATGGAAGAACACAAACAAATTCTAGAAGAAAGCGCCCTGGATTTGATGGCAGGAGCCGGCATTCTGTCATGGTGTGCTTACTGAGCAGCCCTGTGGCTTGGGGGAAACAAAAGTTCTGGTCTCCAGCCTTCAGATTCCTCATATGTAAAATGATGGATCAGGACAAAACTATCTTCTAACCGATTCCCACCTTACAATTTTATAAAAGCAAGCAATCTGACATATTAAATACATGAGAAAAAATTAAAAAATAAATACATGAGAGGCAGCACAGTAAGCTTGAGATTACACAACTTCTTCGACCTTCACTTTTTACCTGCAAAATGAAATGGAAAGAATAAAAGTAACTCCCTGGACTATTAGGCAGGCAAAATAAGACAAGAGGTTGCTTATAAACTCCAAAGAACTCTACAACACACTGTGGATCGAAGGTTTGAAGCTCCTTCCTTCTTCCCTCCCTCCTTCCTTCTTTCCTTCCTTCTTTCCTTCATGGCAGCAGTTGTAATGGACTAGAAAAAGCACTGCACCCTACTTTCAGGTCTCATGTCTCAAACTTACAAGCTGTGTGACCACAGGAAAATTACTTAAAATCTCTGTGCCTGACTTCTCATGTTCAAAAGAGATAAAGCATCTGCCTTGTAAGTCTTCTTGATGAGTTGAAAAAAAATAATGTACCTGAAAATACCCAGCATGATACCAGACAGAGGAGGGGCACACAGAATGGCAGTTAAAGCTGATGGTTCAAGGAAATAAGCAAATGAAAAGGATCTATACTCACATGGTAGGAGGCAGGCTAATACATAAAATATGGCAGAATTAAAGATGTCACTGTGTCCATGTAATTCTGGCAGAAACACCCAAGAGTGACAGCATCATGGTCCATGTTAATGGAAGGGGCTGTGCATGCTTAAGACCAGAGGATTCATCTGATCTGCATGGCCAGTGCACCCTGAGCCATTTCAACATAAACTGAAGTCTGAAGTAGTTTCAACAAGGCCAAACACCATTTCCCATCTATGCCTTTGGACTTAAGGTTTGCTGTGTCATACACTGGTGAAAATCTCCATGTATGTCTCAGCCCCATGGGTGCAGGCAAATGACTGGCCAAACCTGAAACAGAAGATTGAATGGGAACAAATCGCAGAAGCTTGTAACTTAGAGCCAAAGGCACCATTGCTGTTTCTCTTGCTCTAAAGCATGCCCAGTCATCACTGCTTGTAGAAACCAAAGAGTAGTTTGAAGTAGAATTTCAGTAGTCTCAAGTGGACATTTGCAAAACTGTGTTGAAAAAATTTCCACTTGACTCATATGATAGTTGTTGTATCATTTTCTGAAGACCTGTTACTGTCAAGTGCTGTTCTAGATGCTGTATATATATTATCTTTAGTTCTCTCAAGAACCCCATAGGATAAACAGTATTGTTTCCATTTGGTGGTTGGGGAAACTGAGGCTCAGACAGGATAAGCATCTTGACCGTACCACAGAGCTTGTCCAGGCTCTCCACTATACTATGCTATTTCCCTAATGGCAATCAGTTTCAGCTTGCAAAGCAAGGACAAAACTTGGTGAGTAGTTCTTCTTGATAATAATAAAAAAAAAAAGAAATTGCCAAAATGAAATGTATCATGATCAAATAATCCAAAAACTACCTAAGGTCATCCATCATAAACTGTCATCTTTCTGTTCTAATCCCAAACTTTCCTTCCCAAGCTGTCTCAGAAAACCCTATCTGGAAAAGAGTGGGTCTCACTTTGTCCCTCTGTCCATAGGAGCTGGAGCCTCTCTATGCGCAGATCAACAGACCTAAGAAATAGCATCGATGCGGGCTCGTGGCGTGTGCTTCAAGACTGGCATGGAAATCAGCATCATGACAGGCTCTCTTGTATTCGTTCACCTCACCTCATCCCATGAAGAAATTCATGATTGCCCAAGGGAACTCGTTTGGAAGAAGGAACTAAAGAGTTTTTGGCAACCAATGGCAGACACCTATGGCAGCACAAAAAACAAAAATTAAAAAACCCCACAAAAGTAAAAAATCATACCCAACATTAAATCACAAGTCAAGCAAATGCTTACCTGACAAATATTCTGAGCTCTCTTAGTGTGGATTTAAGATGACCCAGTATGCAAAATCATAATTCTTTTTATTTCTCTGCCTGCTGACCACTGTAGAGACATCAAATCTGGAGTGACAGGCCTCCGGGAGTGACAACAGGATTGACACTGACCTCTCTAAGGCAAAAGCAAGAGGTCCTCCGTGACCACCGTATCATCCGCCATATGCCTTTTGAATTCGATGATGTTTTTTTCATCACTCCATGGGTTCTGGTCTGCCATTTCTCCCCCTTTCCTTTCTTTGTCATGTTTGAAAATTAATGGGTGTACCAATTTTTGTATTGCTTTTGACTTTTTTTTGCATATGCGTGAAGAAATCTAACTGGAGAAAGAAAGCCTCATAGGAAATGAATTAACTTAAAACCACAAGACAAATAAGTGGTTCGTTATGATCAAGAATGTTGCCAAAACAACCCTTTAGCTATTCTGCATCCTGGTGAAGAAAGACAGCTTTGAACCTTCATTCTGTGAGTAGGAAAGGACACCGGATCCCATTGATGAGAAAGATGAAAAATTCATCTGATTTCCTAAGAAGCTCTAAACTCTTAAGTACAATAAAATGATATTTTTTATTTTTCCGGTATCTTGCTGCTGTGATACTATGCAGACAAGTGTCTTCTCCACGTGCCATTTTCAAAGAAAAATCATTTGCCAAATAATTCTGGTATAATCCTGGTAATGTGGTTTTGGATCTTACAAACTGACTTTCTAACAGAACAATGGTGATATGAATATCCAGAATAACAAACTGATTCCGTGATCACAGTGGTTCATCTCTCTCTTTTTGTACATCAGAAAATTCAAATGGGATTTTTATTTTATAACTTGAAAAAAAAACTTACCATTAAACTCTTTAAATATTTAAGGGAAATGGCTTTAAGGAGTTCTAATGAAAAAAAAAATGCCAGTTCTTTTTTTGTAAATATAAATGTTAATGAAAATGCTTTTTAATAATGCCATTACACTGTAGAGAAGGTAGCAGACTGAGTGCAAGATGTGACAAACTTGATAGATGGGAATTACTTCCCAGCTGTTTCTCTGGAGCATATGGGAGGAAGCTGGAGTTCAGGGGCAGCTGTCAATCAGCAGCTAGTGGGCAGGAAGGGGGCATGTAACTCCATCATCTAGTGTAGCCTTTCCACAAGAGTAAAACTTTCCACCCTCTGTGTAAAACAAGAAAAAGACAATTCCCATTTTGAAGGCCTGTCCTTCAGATTCTGAAATTGTCTTCTGCCTCATCACTCCCACCTACCCATACAGAGCTCACTGGACTGCTTGTGTGTGAAACAGAAGGGTTTAATAAGCTTCCTTTTTTTACATTTATGAGGCAAAAAGCGCAGTGTTTGGTTGGTATGTTTAGCACATGATTTTCATAAAGAATCTCTATATTTTTGCCCTACAGAGAACTGTTCTACAGGTCAAATGTGTTTTCCTGACGTTCCTATGCAGCTACAGTATGTTGAATTTAGTGGTTTAACACTAAGAAGAAAACTTTAAAGAATCATGTGATTAATTGGATTTGGGGGTAAATAATTAATATGACTTGGTTGTAAAATTAGAGAAGTAGAATTTACATTGATATGATTGACTTAAACCAGACCTATGTAGTTTGATTCTTCATATCAAGAGAAACAAATGATTGGGAGGAAGGCATATTTGTTCAAAAAGAGATCATTGATAAGTTAAAGTAAACTATTACTATTTGAAACCCAAATTTTACACTATCAGGTCACTGGAATCTAGTTTTTTTTTTTCCAGTTAGGTAAACTGACCAAATGGCCATTACAGAATATATGTAAATGTCATCCTGATGTGGAAGGTCTGAAGATCCAGAAAAGAGAGAGCCATTTACCTCCCTCTGTAGCTATCACCTGTTGGTCCACATGATTTTTCCAGGAATGTGCATACACTTTATGATTCAGTAAATCTTCCACACTAAGGGGAAAATGGGAAAGGTGTGACAACCTGAGAGTTGTCCTGAAGCCAGTTTGATTGTATTTTCTGGGGATTTGACGACATAGGCAGTTCTAGTGGGAAAATGGCTCAAATTGCTGTGTTGTCTCTGATTCCGATTTTAAACAAGTGGTGCTATCTTCTCCCTTGATATGGCTGTCCTGGGTTTGTCTTGCAGTATCACACTATTATACTGATTCTTTGGGTTGCTTCTGACATGTACAGAGTGAACTCTGGCTCATGTTGCCAGTTCAAGTTCACCGTCTGGAATTAATTCCACAACAGAAAATGACAGCCCAGTGGACTTGTCATCATTCATTGGATGTGACTGAAAATGCAGCTGGCTCCGAACTTAAGATGCCCATGTGATACGTTAAAGTGAGGGAAATAAAGTCAAGATTTTAAACTGCCATCCATGTCAGCATTGGCAGAATTTGATTTTGACAGCACTGTTGGGTGAGCTCAGAACCACCTTGTCCTATCCCAGGAGTACAGTGAAATTTCCAAATAAGAGCTGAGGTGCCGATACCAAAAGGCCATGGGGAGTCTGCGCCATTCCGGTTAGATCAAAGGAAAACCCGTGTGTCAACTGTTAATTCCTCATCATTCACTAGCACTAAATTTGTCACTTTAAATTTTGAAACCAGGGAAACGCCACCTGTCGTTCTGTCCCCATTCCCCATAGCTCTTCGATCTTCACATGCCACAAGACTTTTTTTATAATTCGTACCCATCCCAGTGTCTACAGAAACCCCATCATGTAATGTACCGGGCACCTTCTTTTACGAAAATGTTTACTCTGTGGGTTTGGTTCATTTCAATTTCTGCGTTCTGACACATATTTTTTTAATAAAGATGAGAAAGAGAAAATGACTGTTGCAGTACATTTCTAGACCTACTTTAACTTTACCTCAGATGACAGTTTGTTAACATATATGGACACATTATTTTTAACTTTATGTACAATACATTCAACAGAACAGCAAAATTTTTAGAAATTTTCCATTAATTTCTGTAACACGCCATGTATAACTGTTACAAATAAACATGTTTGAGAACAACAGCTTAGCCTGGTTTTATTCCACAAATTTCTACTAGATTTTCAGGCGAGGGATTAGAAGAAGACATTGCTTCTATCTAAGCTTGCATTTGACCAGGTGAAGGCCTCTGTTTTCCTGGTTCTGGGCCAGAAAGGGAGAGGCTTCACTGAGGAGTTAGCTCAGTTTGTCCTCACTTGAACTCAGGCACTTACTATGCTTGCAAAAGCAGCCACGCCAAGAATGAGGAAGATGTTGACATCAGGAAAGGCATACCTGGTGTAGATGTGGTGCTTGGACTCTACTTATCGTCATATTTTCAAAATCAGGAAAGACTCAGAACTAGTCCTCTGATTTGCATCTTCTCCTAGAAAAAAAGACAAAACAAAAAACCCTGCTAAACTGTTGGTTGGAAAGCCAAGGTTAATCTAGACTCTCAAAGACTTCACCAGTTCTTTCCAAGGTGACCTGCTTTAAGGGACCCAAAGAAGGAAGTGTTTATCTTCCTTCACATTCCCACACATATTCCACACCAAAAACCATGAGGCAAAAAGAAGCCTGAAGCTGAATCTTATCTTTCATATGTATTGAAGAACACAAAATAAGTATCTACGTGTGTATGTATATTTATACATGTATATATATGTATGTGTGTGTGTGTCATTTTTATTTCCTTTTGTAACTAAATCAGTCTATCCAATAATCAGCCAGATTACAGATTACAATTAAGTCGTTGAGATGCCAGAAAAGACCTCTGTTTAGGGAATGGTTATGTTAATGGGTGCATACACACATGCCCTCAATCTGGCCTCCTCATACAAAAAGTATTAAACAGATGTTATCGCTACATTTGAGAAAATGAGAGAATGGGTTTAGATTCCAGAAAAATACATTTGGGGCAGAATGAAAAACAACTTTTATACAGTTAGAAATGCACACTCCTGGAATTGATAGAAAATGTTACACAAGCTTTTCTAAATAACAGTGGTTCACACTTACTGAGCAACTATGTGTCTGATAGGTGCTAGCTGCTTTAAGTCATTGCCTCAGTTAATTTTCCAAATAACATAGGTAGATATCCCCAATTTATAGGTAAAGAAACAGAGATTGAATAACTTCTCCAGCTAGCAAATGGCAGAGATGAGATTTGAATTTTTAGTCTTTTTACTAATTGATTGTGATTTTTAAAAGTTGGATAGCTACTCTTTTAAATAATTATACGTAAAAAGCATTGAAAAGCATTGACCTTCTATGCCTCTTCCCAGACCTGGTTGACCTTTGGTAGTAAGTGTATTGCTAAATACATGGTTTTTTACTTAATTGGCACTCTTGAAAGGCTGTATGCCTGAGGGATGAAGAATATACCTTTTTTACCCAACTAGTTCAAGTTTAGCTGAAACGAAACATTGGCGATTTACTTTTCTAGCCTAAGTGAATCTTAAAAGAAGTGACAAATTAAAAGGTGTCCTATTTAACTTGTAGGCGGATGCCAAAATAAATCAGGCAGATATATCTGCTTTCATTTTGTGCTTGAGAGCAAACCCTCATTGTTTTGACAGTAAATGTTTTTGTTTTACTCAGAATGACAGTAGGAAAAAAGCCTAGAATAAAAACAGGTTTCATTGAAATCAACCTTCAAAGCTTTTAAAAGATGTTTAAATTCAAGGGAAATGTGAGCAGTGGTGCCTGAAAGATTCAAAAAGAAATGTAAGCAGATGTAAATGGCTTTCAAGCCAGTTAGTGACCAGTTCTCAGTATTTACATTAAAACATGAATAATAGATGCCATTCTTGTGTCCCTACTCTGTGTGTACCACTCATTTTCTAACCATCATTTTAAGTCCTTACACAAACCCCAAGAGGAAAGAATATGTTTGCCATTTTATTTAGGAAACTGAGACTCAGAGATGTGAAACAGCTATCAATTAACAGAGCCAAAGAGTTCACCCCGGGGCTGTTATAGTTCCCAGGGGCCAATTCCCAAGTCTCTCCTCTGCTCCACGGTTGCTTCTGTCTGCAGAATTTCTGTGATACCACATTGCTCATGCCACCCTCTATAAAATACTTTTGAGTCTTTCTGTATTCAATTCTAAGTAGTGTCTATCATATTAGAAAAATCACACCATGCATTACCTTGACTGATTCAGTACGGAAATTGATTCTTAAGTGAAATGACTGTAGTTATTTTAAAACAAAGGAAAAATTCAGTTTTATTCTCAAGAACAGTAATAGCTCTAACTCAATCCAATGAATATTTAATTTCAAAACAAAACCCTAGCATTCACTTTATCTTCCAAGGTATAGAGATCTGAAGAGGGAACCTTTTTGAACAGGTTTTCTGTTCATCCTTTGCTGAAGAATATTAATGACTGCCAAGTGGAAAATGTCTAAATATTCTTGCGAGATGGCAGCCTCTGGTGACTTGGGTCTTTAATCTTCTGAACAACCTTTTGCCATTTCTGTCACTCACGCTGGGGTGGCAGCTGGGAATGGGGAACAAACAGGAATGGTTAGAGGTGGAGTAAGCAGCAATCAGGGCTGGTATATTGTCAACAGTAAAATGTTAAACTGTCCTTCTGTGTACCATACATTTAGCTACTCTACTGTGCCCCCACTTTAGGGGTGGGGAGAACTCTGAAATCGGTCTCTTTCAAGATTATAGGTCAGAGTCACTCACCTACTGCTCAGGGCCATAAGCTCAAGAATCTAAGCGACTAAAGTTATTAAAAGAAAGTTGTTTCCTCTTACCTGTCTTGTGCCCTTCTAGACGTTCATAGGAGGAAAAAGAAATGTCAGTGATCTTACAGCCCGTGTTTATTCTTTTAGGGTATAACAATTGTAGCATAAACTAAAAATAAAGGAAACCTTACTTAATGGTTAGCCATTGAAGAGAGATAAATGATGTGAAAGTCAAGCAGCTAATGGTTTTTTTATTCCTATTGTGTATTAAATTTAAGCAAAATCTGAATAGTAGAATATTTGACCAAATCTATACCCATTTCTTACCATTTACCTCTTTTCACCTGTAAGTGGGACATACTGTCTTTATTTGTGAGTCAAATATAGATAGCTTCCAGATGGCGGACTGTGAACTCACCAGTCTTGGTTTAGGTTCTGGCTTCATGACTTTACAGTTGTTTGACTTCAAACAAATCACTTAAACTCTCTCAAGTTCAGTTCATTCAACATGTAAATTTGAATCAATATCTACCCAGCGGACTGTTATGAGAAACACATTTAATAATTCTATACCTGGAACATAGAAAATGCTCACTATGTATTACCAATTAATTAATAAAAAATTAGGCTGATGGCTATTGTGTATTTTGCCCTTAATTCTTTCACTTTATGCTTCATATCTATTTTCCCAGCACAGTTAACTCTACTAATTGTGCAGAATGACAGTGAGTGATTATTATCTCTTATTTTATTGTCAAAGGAAGGCAGAGGCAAATACATACCTTTTTGAAGCATTTCACTGGCAAAGTATAAGGCAAAAATGTATCATGGATTTATTCATGTAACAAAGAGTTTAATTAAACACATACTGTATGCCAGGTCCTGAGTTAGTCACTGGAAATTCAGACTTTTTTAAAAATACAAAACTGACTCTCCCTGCTTTCAAGAAGCTCAAATTCTAGTAAGGAAAATAGGCTAATAGGTGAATTAATTAGAGGAGAATTAGTAATGGAATATAGGCATATGCTAATATGGGAGTGGTGGGAGAAGGCTGTGCAGAAGCATTGGTGATTGAATCAGGTCTTAAGAAATGAGTAGGAGTTTACCATGAGGAGAGGGCAGTAGAGGGAAAAGTGTTAGCAGAACTGGCAGGGCCAGTGAGTATGGTGAGTCTGGAGGGGCTGGAAATGAAGACAGAAAAATGACTCTCTAAGCTGTTGAGTAACACAGAAAACCCAGTTTCTCAATTCATATTTCAAAGCTAGAATAATAAAACATCAAAAAGTACTATAAATTATAGCCTAATCTTTCTAATGAATAATTAGAAACTCCTAAATTAAATATTAACAAATTAAATACAGCTGTAAACCATGACTGAAGTCAATTCCTGGAATGCGATTAATAGGTCAAGAGAGACTGTGTTGTTTAGTAGATGTCAAAAAGGCCTCTGATAAAATTCATTATCCACTTCAAGAAAAAAATTGGAAACTAAAATTAGATGTTATTTTGTTTTGTTTTTTTGTCATGTGAAGGGAATTCTCTATCCCAAACCAACAGCCAATATGAAATATAACAGTGAAACTTAAGGCCATCTCCACTAAAATCAGATGGAGGTAAGGGTGCCAGCTGTTACCTCCATTATTTATGTTATTTGAAATTAGAGGCAGTGCAATACACAAATGTGAGAAAGAAAAATCAAGTATTTAAATGTAAAATGAGAAAATTATCGATGTTTGCAGATAATGTTTTCTCATAGGAGATATCAGAAGCTGTAAGAACTAATAAAAGAAGGTGGTTAGTTTAAAAATATATAAAAATCAATATTTTCTATACTGATAAAGTATTTTAGAACACCTAATGTTTTTAAATAGATTCTACTAAAATAGCAACAAAAGTAAAACACCAAAGAATAAATTTAATATGAAAATGTAAAATTTAAATTTAAAAAAACTAAACTAAAACAGAACTTTGTTGAAGGGCATTAAGCAGCTAAACAAATTGAGAAAGGAGGGTCCAGTATTATAAAAATATCTATTTTCCCTAATTACAGGAAGTCCCTCACAATTGTTTGACTTATTCTTTTTTATGATGGTATGAAAATGAAACACATTCTGTAGAAACCAGACTACAAATTTTGAATTTTGTTCTGTACCAGGCTAGCAGTATGCAGTACAGGTACCATTCTCTCTCGGGATGCTGGGCAGTGGCAGGGAGCTACAGCCTTCAGTCAGCCACACGATCACGAGGGTGAACAACCTGGACACTTAGAACCATTCTGTACCGATACAACCATTTTATTTTTCACTTCCGATATGGTATTCAGTAAACTACATGAGATATTAAACACT